AGCAACTGGCTAAATCAATCACTTCAGCAGTTTAATCACACCCTTCCTCTGGTTTTCCCCCCTATATCAAGGAAATGGCCTGCAATTCTCATAAACGACACATTCAGGAATGAAAACCTAATCACTGCTCAGTCGAGCCGCAACAGGACAGCGCTGGACCTTTCCACACAGCAGCCAGGCATCGCAGGGTACTGCAGCAATATACCAGGGTAGCAAACCCACTCCTGCTAATCTGGTAATCCAAGATCCCATCTCAGCTCTCCTCTGACTTCAAGCCCTGCAAGCTCTTCACTGGAAGCTTTGTCTGACGTCAGAGTAGGCAAAAATATTTTACCTCCCTTTTGACTCCAGAGACACACACTAGGCTGGAACTATAAAAGGCTTTAGGCACTGGATCCTAGGAATGGATGTCATAGTCTAAAATCCCTGCACAGTGTTAAGCACTGTGATATTTAGTTTCATAACACGCAACACTCAGCAGCGAAAAGCCAAGAGTGAGAAGAAGGATGCGAATTTTTCTCCTGCCCGGCGAGAGATACCAGTGCGGAAGAAAGATTCCTCACACAAAGTCTACAAATATGCTTGGATACCTGTTATTGCTTTATATATGCATAACTTTCCTTTTTAAAACATGGCTCAAGGAGGAGCTGCTGCCATTCACCTTTAAGCTCCCCGTGCGCCATCAAGGCAAATGGCATTGAGAAGAGCACCTGGTACTTCAGAAGGCATACCTTAGCCACCACCTTCTGCACTCTGCTGGGTAAAGTGAAAGAACAAAGACAATATTTAACCCTTTCGAAACTGGGCACGCACGAAGGCAGGAATGCAAGATTCAAAGGATCATCACCTGCCACCGTAAGCCGCAAAGAACTCAGTGTTATGGGCTCTAGTCCCGGCTCCCAGGACTCTGGGTGCGTTTGCTGACAGTGATGGGAGATAATAATGGAAACAAACATCTAAGGCATTATATGGATTTTTTTATAGATCACACTCACAGAGTTAAGTGTCTACAGTGAAATTTAAGTCTCATGTGTCTGAGCCTCAGTCAATAATAGGCCTTGTATTTATCACTATATTACACATGAAGTATGCATTAATGGGTATTTATGTGCTCTCTAGGGGCTTGAACAAGCATCTGAGCCGAAGTTGCTAGGATCAGTGATTTTTCAGTGCAGTATCCTGATTCAAATAATTATTTCAGGGTGATCCAAGACTGAATATTTTTTTCCTGGCCTTTCTAATAAGTGAAAAGAACTAGATTTCTAAGGGAGTTAGAGAATGCTCAGAAAGTTGAGGTACTGTTAATGACATTCTCCTGGGATGCAGGACACTTTGGTTTAACTCTTTCTGCTGCCTGACAGCTGAATTGGGGCAATCAAACCCTGCTGATTTGAACAAAACAAACAAACAAATAAAAGCAAGCTAAAATACAACCCCACTCTGGGAGTTTAGATTCTTCTTACCTAGTTTGACCTGAACTGCTTTGTCTTTTGAGACCCACTTGTATTGCTTGTAATAATAGTAAGATTTTTTTTATTGTACCAGAACTGCTTGAAGCTATATTCCTGTTTCTAATAAAATAAAGCTTTAAATATAGCAGATTATTTTCTCCACCCTGTCTGACATGAGCTATAATCTGGGGTTTTTTTCTCCCTTTCATGAACACCATCTGTTTGTGACCATTAAAATCCATTTTCTATGCTGAAGAGATGGGAATTCAGAGGGGTGTGTTCTGCCACTGTCCAAATAGTACTGTCATTCCTAAGGGATCCATTACAGTCTGACACACCCAAGTATTTATGAGCCATAAACCGCCTGCCTAAAATGGCGATTCATCACCCTGTGCATGGGAGACACTGACAATGACAGAGCATGTTGTAGCTGCGAAGGGAGGGGGGGTGTATGGGTTTTAAGAAGATTTTTTTGAACCAGCAGTGTTATATAGCATCAGGTTTTTTTCCCACTATGGCACCTCGTTTCCAAGCCATTTGCTCCGACAGTTCTCACAGCCAATGTTAAATTAACGGATGTCTTGGAACTGGACACCGAATGAGGCAGCTACAAGGTCACTGCTTCTTTGCATCAATGTCTGCTCTGGACTCAGCGCTCACTTGGTGTCAAAGCAGAGCGTCCTGCTGCTTTTCTTGGCGCAACGCTCCCTTCAAGGCTGGTTGAGGGACAGGGTGCAGCTCTCACACCGGCGTGACAGCGCCCTTCTCATCGCATCCAGGTGCAATCAGAGCAAACAGGCGCATGAATGAGATTCCTACAGACTTTTTTTGCCTGTTATCTCTGAGGCAGATTGTATCCCCCCATTACAAAAGTGATGTTGTTAGAAAACTGATTAGAGAAGCAGCACTATCTCTGAGAAAGTCAGACAAGGCAGCAAATGGGTTTTTTCAGCTGAGATTTAATACAGAAGACAGATAAATGAAAGACTTTTGCTCCATATGGCAGGTGGAGCACATCACATAGTTCTCACACCCACATGAGAAACTGCGTAAGGGAACAAAGAAAAGGAAATACAAATGCTGGTAAGAAAATGTAAGCGCAAGGACTGTCTTGTATGAAAACTGGCTCTGAACACCTCTGAAGCTTTGTGAACTGAACAGACTACTGTAAAATTTAGATGGAATTTATACACCAACACCCAAAAAATCACAACCACTGTTGAAGCCATTTTATTTTTATACTTGCCAGCCTAATATTCTAGCACTGTGCATGCCCAGATAAGCAACCGTCTTGGCTAAGCTGTGCTTCTCAGTGCCTACCACCCTTTGGAGATTTACAAACGAGGCTCCTGCTGCTTAGGGAACCCAAGCTGACAGGCATGCTCAGCGAACACCAGCCCACACCAACAGCATTTTGTTAAGCAGAAAGCACTATAGTCACAATTCTGTTTCATTCAAAATAAAAAAAAAAAAGACTGGGAAAATTAAGGACACGCTGGAGCAGGGGATTTTAATTCTGGTCCCAGACTTAGTAACTGCTGTGCATTGAATAAGGCATCAAACGACAGACACACATAGACACCTGGGACTGAAACTGCACTGCCCATACCCATCCCTTGCTAAGTGTTTTCACCCCTGGATTGCAGAGCCTGAACTACAAAGCCTGTTCCCACACATTCCTCCTCTCCGAACCTTCAACTGCTTTTTCCACAGTGGGACAGCCTCAGCGGTGCCCCCAACCTCCCAGCGGCAGCCTGGACATTCCCCCTCAGGCCCCAGCGCTCCCATTTTCCCAGCTAGTTCTGCCAGGCGAGTAGGGAGATGCTGTATAAAACACCACCATTACGTCTGGTTACTTTGAAAATAAATGCATGGTTTTATCACCTGCATCCAGTGGGATGACTTTAAGCCCCTGCCGAGTCCTGTTTTGGTCTGAGCATCCTGCAGGGTATGTGAGCTGGTGATAGGTGCCTACACTTCATAGTGTCTATCAGCTAACTTTCAGGTACCTTCCCATTTCATGCGCGGTTCTGACTGCCATCTCCAAGCACCTCCCCTGTTACCTGTATGTGCAATTTAGGTGCCCAATTCATATTGATAAATCCCAGGCCCCAAAACAGGGGCCTTAGAGGATCATCATTCTTCAGCCTGGTAGGGGATCTGAGACCCTAGTTCCTTACGGCTGTACACCTTAAAGACAAATAATAGGATAATCTTCATCAGACACTTACTGAGATGCCATTGAAATGGGAGCATCCTAAACGCCAAGAGAAAGGAGACAAAGAAAGACAAAGCACACAAGGCTCCTGCAGCAGACTAGAGGGAAAAAATGTTTGCTGGCCTGCTGCAGTCAGTTTATATCTTTCAGTAAGTACCATTTTGCCATACTCACAAGAAACATGGATCAGAGAGCAGCTTATTCATTTTACATACATAGAATTGTCGAAAAAGTTCTTAGGCATTTTCTCCCTATTCTTGGGTTATACCTCATGGATTAAGTAATAATTGCAGACCTCTGCAGTAGCCGAGTAGTTTTTTCATCTGTATCATATGAGATCAAAAAGCTGTATGCAAGTGAGCCTTAGTAAAGAAGGGTAATGCATTCTTTGGTTGCTCCCAAAAGCAGCAAGGTCTCCCAATTTTCTCTGCTGCATTAGGCAAATGAAGAGGAAATAAGACCAACCTACACCGTTTGGTTCTAGCTCTAACATTTCTCCATTTCAGGTATTTAGAGGTTTGGGGGATTAACCCAGCTATTAATGAGGCTGTTGAGCTTAGGTAATGGGAAAAATATTACAGCGGGTGCTAATCTTAACAAATGCTATTCAAGGGCAGAGTGTAAATATGTTGATAAAAGAGTCCGCAGTATAAAAAAAAAATCTGCCACCTCACAAAACATGTGAACTATTTGCTTTCAGGGGCTTTGGCCAAAGATGTAAACAAAAGTCTGAAGGAATTCACATTAAAAATTGTGCCTTTTCTTGGCATGCTTAGTACTGAGACACGCTGAAATTCGCATACTTGGGGAAAGGCGGCGGCTTGCAAAGCTTGTGGCTTTCTGGGTTTTGGCTCGTTGACAATGACCACGCTGAGAGGGCGTACGGCGGCAGACAGCGATGGCTGTCGACCGCTCCCCGCCGCGGCGGCTGCTGAGGTGCCGGTTCCAGGACAGAGTGAACCGCTGGACGCTGTCGCTCGCTGGAGCGAAGAGCAACCTTCGGGGGGTACCCCGAGTGGACGTACCCCTCTTCGGCGACAACCGCCGGCGCTCTGCGGGGCGTCCGCTGGATTCTACGTATTACCGATAAATAAAGGGGAGGCCATTCACTGCAGAAGAACGGCTTAATGTTCTTTTAATTGCACGGATGCGATCTGCCTTCAGCGGCAAGGTCTTATTGCATGGATGCGATCTGCCTTCAGCGGCAAGGTCTGCTTACCACCCTACACGGACACCTACGTCTGCACATGCGTGGGCACATACAGCCATTTATGTACTTCTCTGCGGGGTGTTTATGCATGCTAATTTCGCTGGGTAGCACTCCTCCCAAAATGCCGCCGGACGTGGTACAGCTGCTGCTGGGGGAGGAGACGGCCGGCCCCCCTTCCCCTGTACCCCGCAGGCACCGTTTCCTTTCTCTCCCTCCAAGTCCCCGACGCCGGACACAGCGAGCTACGGAGCAGGTCGCATCCCTGCTCGTACCACGGCGCCCGCCACAGGCGAGCGTCCCGCGCATCTAGCGCGCCCCGCGCTCCTCCTCCCCCCTTTCGCCTCCTTCCCCGGGCCGGGC